TGAATCTGCAGGAGTACAGTGAAGAAATTTTTATCAATAATAAACTATCAATAATCTGCAGTTTAGGACGTCTTCTGGTATATTTAACAATTTTAAAAGTCTTCAATAACTGCTGTAAATATAGGATTCAGTGCAAACTAAAATTGGTATTTATTCCTGGAATAAAGAAACTTTTACTATTTCAACAAAAATATAGTGGCTTACTATTGCTAGTAATATAAAGTTTGGGAGCAAAGATGCTTAAGAATTATTAAGAGTTGAAGGGTCTAAATTATATTTTATCAGAATGTCCGTTATTTCCTATTAAAATTCCACTGGCAAAAGTAAAGAATTTTTGCAACAATCAGGGAAAAAAGTAAAGGACCATAATGAATTGACAATAGACAGTTGTGTTTGATTTTTTAACTGTCAAAATGAACAAAAAACATTTAAATACTATCAGCATTTTCTCAATACCATTTACTATGTAGTTTTAATAGAATATTTGAAGGGATAAAATATTTAATAAAAACACCAGAAAATTATTAGTATGAGAGTATTATTACATTCTAGATTTGTTTCTGACATCTTAGAAAACTTGTATAGGCATACTTGATATTGTGAGTTTGGTTACAGACTACCACAATAAAGTGAGTATCTTCATAACATAAGTCATACAAATTTTTTGGTTTTCCAATGCATATAGTTATAATTACACTATACTGTAGTATATTAATAGTGTGCAATGGTATTATGTCTAAAGTAACAATGTATGTACCTTAATTAAAAATAATTTATTGCTAGAAAATTCTAGTGATCTCAGCCTTCAGTGAATGTTTTTGCTGGTAGATGGTCTTGCCTTGATAGTGATGACTGCTGGCTGATCAGGGTGGTGGTTGCTGTAGGTGTGGGCTGCTGTCACAGTTTCTTAAAATAAGACAAATGGAGTTTGCTGCATCAATTGACTCTTCCCTTCACGAATGAGAGGATTGACTCCAGTTTTGACAAAAATTCTACTGAAGACTAAATGGTCCTCAGAGAGCAAGAAAAGGAAAAATAAAAGAGGATGGAAGGAAGTTGCAGGCAAAGGATAAAGAACAGTAGGTTGTTTTGGTAGTGATAACAGAATCACTGAAACTTCATTTTTTTTTAATGATGACGATGGACTATTTGGTCCTCAGTAGAAATTCTGTCACAATTGGAGTCAATCCTCCCAGATTCTGCTGCTACTTTATTAAGTTTATGTAATATTCTAAATCATTCGTTGTTATTTTAGCAGTGTTCACAGCATCTTCACCAGGAGTAGATTCCATCTTAAGAAACCACTCTTTGTTTTTGTTTTTTGCTCATCCATAAGAAACAATTCGTCATGGCTGGGCGTGGTGGCTCACACCTGTAATCCCAGCATTTTGGGAGGCCGAGGTGGTGGATCACCTGAGGTCCGGAGCTTGAGACCAGCCTGGCCAATATGGTGAAACCCTGTCTCTACGAAAAATACAAAATTAGCCAGGCATAGTAGCACATGCCTGTAATCCTAGCTACTTGGGAGGCTCAGGCAGGAGAATTGCTTGAATCCGGGAGACGGAGGTTGCAGTGAGCTGAGATCCCGCCATTGCACTTCAGCCTGGGCAACAAGACTGAAACTCTGTCTCAAAAAAAAAAAAAAGAGAGAGAAAAACAACTCCTAATCTGTTCAAGCTTTATCATGAAATTGTAAAACTTTAGTCACATCTTGAGGTTTCACTTCTAACTGTAGTTTTCACTATTTCCCCCATATCTGCAATTATTTCTCCAACAAAGTCTTGAACTCCTCAAAATCATCCATCAGAGTTGGAATCAAGTTATTCCAAACTCCTGTTAATGTTGATGTTTTGACCTCCTCCCATGGGTCACAAATGTTCTTAATAGCACCTGGAACGGTGAATTTTTTCCAGAAGGTTTTCAATTGACTTTGCGTAGATCCATCTGAGAAATCACTCCCTATGGTAGCTATAGCGTTATGAAATGTATTTCTGAAATAATAAGACTGAAGTTTGAAATGACTTCCTGATCTGTGAGTTGCAGAATAGATGTTGTGTCAGCAGGCACACAAACAACAACATTAATCTCCTGTACATCTCCATCAGAGCTCTTGGGTGACCAGGTTCATTTTCAGTGAACAGTAATATTTTGAAAGAAATCTTTTTTTTTTGAGCCATAGGTCTCAAAAGTGGGCTTAAAATAGCAGCAAACCATGCTGTAAGCAGATATGCTGTCATCTAGGATTTGTTGTTCCATTTAGAGAGCTCGGGCAGAGTAGGTACAGAGTAATTCTTAAGGGATTTAAGATTTTTAGAATGGTAAATAAACATTGGTTTGAACTGAAAGTCACCAGCTACATTATCTCCTAATAAGAAAGTCAGTCTGTGGACACGTTGATGCTTTGAACCCAGTCCCTGACTTCTCCTCCCTAGGTGTGAAAGTCCTGGATTGCATCTTCTTCCAGTAGAAGGCTGTTTCATTTACATGGAAAACTTGTTGTTTAGTGTAACCACTTTCCTCAGAGATCTTAGCAAGATCTGAATAACTTGCTGCAGTTTCCACATCAACACTTGTTGCTTTGCCTTCCACTTTTATCTTATAGAGGTGGCTTTTGTTGTTGTTGTTGTTGTTGTTGTTGTTGTTGTTGAGACGGAGTCTGGCTCTGTCACCCAGGCTGGAGTGCAGTCACGCGGTCTCGGCTCACTGCAGCCTCCGCCTCCCGGGTTCAAGCAATTCTCTGCCTCAGCCTCTCAAGTAGCGGGGATTACAGGCGCCCACCACGACGCCTGGCTAATTTTTGTATTTTTAGTAGAGACGGGTTTTACCATCTTGACTAGGCTGGTCTTGAACTCCTGACCTTGTGATCCACCTGCCTTGGCTTCCCAAAGTGCTGGGATTTCAGGCGTGAGCCACTACACCCAGCCGGCTTCTTTTATTAAACCTCATGAACCATCCTCTGCTGTCTTCACACTTTTTTTCTGCAGCTTTCTCCCCTCATTCAACCTTCATAGAATTAAAGAGAATTAGAGCCTTGTTTTGGATTAGACTTTGGCTTATGAGAATGTTGTGACTGATTTGATCCTCTATGCAGACTAATGGAACTTTCTCCATGTCAGCAGTAAGGCTGTTTTGCTTTTTTATCATTTATATGTGCACTGATGTAGCACTTCTAATTTTCTTCAAGAACTTTTCCTTTGGATTAACAACCTGTTTGCTTCAAGAGGCCTTTCAGCCTATCTCAGCTTTTGACATGTCTTTCTCACCAAGCTGAATCATTTCTAGCTTTTGGTTTAAAGTGAGAGATGTGTGACTACCTTTAACTTGAACACTTAGAGGACATGGTAGGATTATTAATTGGCCTAATTTTTTTTGCAGGAGGTGGATGGAGTCTCATTGTGTCACCCAGGCTGGATGGAGTGCAGTGTTGCGATCTCGGCTCACTGCAACCTCCGCCTTCCAGGTTGAAGTGATTCTCCTGCCTTAGCCTCCCAAGTAGCTGGGACTACAGGTGCATGCCACCACGCCCAGCTAATTTTTGTATTTTTAGTAGAGATAGGGTTTCACCATGTTGGCCAGGATGATCTCGATCTCTTGACGTCATGATCTGCCCACCTCATCCCCCCAAAGTGCTGGGATTACAGGCGTGAACCACCACGCCCGGCTGATGTAGTTTCAATCTATGTGATCAGTACGCTTGATGGCATTTTACCTCATAGATCCTATAGAGACAGAACCAGTAGAGTGTGTGTTTGCAAAAGGGCCATGTATTCAAAATGGCTCTTAAATGCTGAAGGGCCCTAGAAAGCAGAGAACAAGGTAGACTAGTGCAGTTTGTCAGCAAAGGATGTTTTACTGGGAGAACTGAGAGCAGAAGGCGGCAGCAAGATAGGTAGATATTCGCACTGCTACTTCCAGACCCTCAGGTTTATTATATTTTATAGGGAATTGGTGTATGTGCTCCAGAATATGCAAGAATGCCATGTGCAGCATAGCCTATAATGAGTGTAGTAAAGTCAAGATTGCTTTGTCCTTACACTAGGGACAGTAAATAAAGCAGAAATCAGGAGGCCTTCCCAGGACTAGGGCTAATCAGAAGCCATCATATTGGATTAGCATTCAAGATGGAGTCATTTTTGTCTCCACAGTTAGATTAAAGAATTGACGTACATAATTGTGGGGCTGGTAAGTCTGAATTTTATATAGCAGGCTGGAAACTCAGGCAGGATTTCTGTTACAGTCTTGAGGCAAAATTTCTTCTTTCCTGGGCATACTGTTTTTGCTCTTAGGATTTTCAATGAATTGGTTGAAGCCCACTCACATTATCTAGGGCATTCTCCTTTATTTAGCATCAACTCATTGTAAATGTTAATCACATCTATGTAATACTGTCACAGCAACATCTAGCCTAGTGTTTGACCAAACTACTGAGCACCTTAGCCCAGCAGAGTTTATACGTAAAATTAGCCATCACATTCTGTATTTTGTTGATTTGTTTTAGCATCATTTTTAGTGTAGCATGCAAATGTCTTAGGAAATAATTGATTTGTTTTCCTTTGAAACTCTGCAGTTTGAGGTTGCAACTTGTCCTCTCCTCTGAGAGTAGCAGCAAATTAGTCTAGCAAATTAGAGAACATTCAACAATAATCATCCAGTTGAATAAACTATAAGTACAAGTTGACAATTTTGAAAAATGTGTTTATTTTTTCGTTGTACCTGATTGGCAGTGATTTATTAAATGATATTACTAAAATCACTCATGGGCTACTTACATGTTTTGAATAAGTCTACTTAGCTCTCAGGATTAATTAGAGTCAGTTTCTGGTTATGCTCAAATTATCAGTTTCCAGCTCATGACTTACCCCCAGTTCAGGTATTCCAGTTCTGTGGTTTACTATAATTGAATTTTAACCATGACTTATGAGGCTTTAGCCTTTAAAAGTATTTACCCACAAGTAAAACATATTTTAGGTATTTTGAGATGCCTCCTCCTCTTGTTTCAGATGGACCAGCTTTTGGGAAATATGATTGAAATGTGGGTCGATCGAATGGACAACATTACCCAGCCTGAAAGAAGGAAACTTTCAGCTTTGGCTTTGCTCTCTCTTCTGCCATCTGATAATAGGTGAGGAAATGTTTTCTTAAAATTTGTTTCTTTCAAGCATCAAAATGTAAACACTATTTTTGGCCATCAGTATGGGTGTGTGTTGCTAGGCAGTGGTACTTTTTTCTATATGGATGTGAATTTTGTTAGCTGATGATGACGTGGTAAGTGTTGGTCCAGATCCAGAAAGCACTTAGTGGGATAGGTACTCTTGGGACTGTGGGTGCTCTAGTTTATTTTGGTTATATTCATTTTACAAATTTAGTTCATTCTTGTCTGAATTTCCATTTTTTATAATAACTATGTTTTATTAGACTAATCTTCAGTCCTCTTTTTACATAGACATATTAAATATCTAACATTTCAAAGTCAATAGCACTTCATAAAGTGTGTTATAAAGTATGTTAATTGAAGAGTATTATTAGTTATTAGTTTTGTTTTCTTTTTATTTTGGATTATTTATAAGGAAGTTTGCAAGTTTTTTTCTTCTAAAAATTCTCACTCCCATAAAGCAAATACAAAATGCTTTGGTTTGGTCATTTAAAGAAGAATATATTTCTTCGTTTCAATTCCTATTTTGCGGAGTTTGGCATGAAATACTTTTAAAAATACTTTGACAGTCAGTACTTAGTTCTCATTCACACTGTGTAGATTTTTTTAAATGATGGCAGGTATATAAATAACATAGAGCTTGATTGGTGAATCTTCCTCATTACATTTTTCTGGACAACTGCACATGGATGTGGTATGGGACATTGTTTATACTTTTGGCTTAGTCAGCCTGATTGAGTTTCATATCATTGTACACACCTGGAGTCCCCTTCTTTTTCATAGCAAATTTTTGAAATTTTAGTGCATGGTCAGCACATTTCTTGAAACCCACTTCATGGATGCACTTATGAATGTTGGTGGTATATTCTCAGGTCACCACCTTGTTAATGGCATGACAGGCCTTTTTGCTGCCCTTCTGTATCAAAGCCATTATGCTGGGCCCCTATTTTTTTGTACTTTTAATTCTAAAGGCTTAAAAGCAGGTCTCAGGGCTTAATGTTGTGTTAAAAGAATAATGGTACTACATTAGATCTTTATGTCTTACGGCAGCAATCCCCAGCCTTTTTGGCACCAGGGACCTGTTTTGTGGAAGAAAATTTTTCCATGATCTGGGGGAGGGGAAGGGAATGTTTTCGGGATGAAGCTATTCCACCTCAAATCATCAGGCATTAGATTCTCATAAGCAGTGTGCAGCCTACATCCTACATCCCTCACATGCACCGTTCACAATAGGGTTACCGCTCCTATGAGAATCTAATGCTGCCACTGATCAGACAGGAGGCGGAGCTCCGACGGTAATGCTTGCTTTTCCTCTGCTCACTTCCTCCTATGCAGCTTGGCTCCTAACAGACCATGGACTGATACCACTCCGTGGTCCAGGGGTTGCGGAACCCTGTCTTAGGGAATTTTTAGAGCATATACATCCTAGTGATAAATTAGTGACGTAAGTCCAGTTTTAGAAATCCTTATTTGTTCTTTATGTATTATTTACTTCTACTATGGTAATTTGTATTAAGGATATATATAATTATTTTGTCTCAACATCATAACAATAGATAATACTTACCAAATGCCATATACTTTCCTAAGTGCTTTATGTTGATAATTTAATTCTTAAAACAGCCTGATGAGGTATAGACATGATTATCCCTTCTCACAGAGCAAACAATTACTTAAAAATGTTAAGTAACATTTGTAAGGTAAGAGATCTAGCATTTGGCATGGTATAAGCCAGTTTGAATCTGGACTACTTCACACCAGGAATGCCTCTTTTAACCACCAGATGATATTGCTCACGCACAAGGTGAACAGATTTCCTCGCTATGAAATGGTGTGGCATCTTACTTTTTTTTGATAAATAAGCCAAATTTAAGCTACCTACATTTTAACTCATTAGTGTTTCTCTCAGTGGAAAAAAAGTGGCATGAAAATTATTGAAGTTTTTAATATTGAAATGTTAAAGAACATAGTCTTTGGTAGTAGTCAGCACTCTAAATGTTTGTTAGATACATTAATGAATGAAAAAAAATGAGTTAATAAGACATGTTAGAGTTTTCTCCAAGATAAAGTACTGAGATTATTGAAAGAAAGCTAGAAACGGTGGAGGTTAAGTTTAGAAAGATATCTAATTGTATCAGAAAAATTTGTTTTACATTTTTAATGAGAATACTGTTTGCTTTAACATATAATATTATGTAAGTGTGTGGTTGTTCAGAACTATTTTTCACATGTAAGTTGTGGAAATTTAATATAGGTTGAGTATCCTTAATCCAAAATGTTTCAGATTTTGGATTTTTGGGATTTTGAAATATTTGCATATATGCAACAAGATATTTTGGGGATGGAACTCAAGTCTAAATGTGAAATTTATTTATATTCCATATACACCTCATATAGTCTGAAGATAATTTTATACAGTATTTTAAATAATTTTGTATATGAAACAAAGTACTTGTATGAAATTTTCCACTTGTAGCAGTATTCTGGCACTCAAAAAAATCTCAGATTTGGGCCATTTCAGATTTTTGGATTAGGGATGCTTAATCTATAGTTGGGCATCTGTAAGAAAAATTAATACTTAGACTGGGACTTAAGTCAACTTATATAAATTGAGGGATAGGACTTTATTAAGACTTGAATTTCTCTTAAACACTGGAATTTTAAATTTAAAAGTTGTGAGGTGCCTTGTGATAGAAGATCAGATACAATTTTTGTTTTTAAAATGAAATACAAATCTGATGGGCACTAGCAAACTCACGTCATTTTTAAGGGTACTGAGAAAGTCTTGAATAATGTGGTACTAGAATTTTAAAGAATAATGATTTAACTTCATAATATCCTTAATAGACTAGTGATGAAACATTGATACAGAAAATCTGTATCAACCTGTAACAATCTGAAAAAAAAAAAAGAAAACACCTTTATTGCACTAGAAATTTGGCACATAGTAATTGGCTTGTGACTTAGGAAGATTTAGTCACATGCTCTAGTGGAACATGCTGATATTCAAGTCAGCAGTATTATTGTTTCCTATTTGTAACCTTTCTTCTAGTTAACTACATAGTTGTTGGAGTTTGGGGAGATTTTTCCTCTTTTGCATCCCCAATGATGATTTCTTCTTTTTCTACCTAATAGTAATTTCCTATTCTTGTGTTTCTTTTAGATTTTGCAGCATACCATTTCCTTTTCCCAAAATAAGGCATGTCTAAAGTATGATGTTGATGATTTTAAAAGTCAGGCTAAATTAGGAAATGTCATTTTTTCCTCCTTTTATTATGATGGCATTTGGGTCCAGATGATTATTTTTTGTGGGAGGGTGTCCTGTGCATTGTAGGATGTTTAGCACCATCCGTGGCCACTACCTACCAGATGCCAGTAGCACTCTCCCCTTCCTCCCCCACTCAAGTCACGACAATTGAAAATATCATCAGACATTGCCATTAGATATTCCTGGGGACAAATTGCCCCCAGTTTAGAAC